TTAAAAAAAATATAATATGAAATTGAAATATGCATTTACGCGTTAATGTGTTATATTTAAAATATTTATTTACATTAAAAAAAATAATTAATTTTAAATCACAATAAGCAAACTGAAGCAAAAATAAATATGGAAATATTAACTAGACAATCATTATATAATTACAATATTGTATTGAGAAAACTATGTGATGAAACAAAAAGATTAGGCGTTTTTATAAATACAGAATATCGCGATATATTGATGAAAATTGTGCTATATTTGTATTTATAAGCAAAGGTTGATATCCTGTTCATAAATATAGCTTAATTTTCGCAGTATACTGAATTTAGTATATAAAGTGCAGTTAAAACAGTTAAAACCATATTGCATATAACATACATCATGTTTTAATCTGTAATTAATTGCATTTCGGAGACATTTTGCAGTATTGCATTCATGAAAATCTCTATTATTTTTATCAATTTTAACAGAACAATTGAAAAACTTTAGTATGAACACTTTTATAACAAAAGTTGATATTTTTGTTATACTTAAGTGTTTTATGTGAAATTTTATTAATAATATGCTGAGATAATTAAAACAAAATTGATTTTAAACAGTGTTTGAATATAAATAAATGCGAATTAACAAAATATGAGAAAAAAAATTAAAATAAATTGAAAATATAAATTTAAATAAGCAATGAAAAATTTTTTGCATTAAATTTAAGATTTAAGAACAATTTGGCTTTGACTCAAACTTAGTTTATATTAATTAATTTGTTAAAATTTTAATTTATTTCAAGAATTTTTCTTAAATTTTTTAATAAAAATAAATAGACTTACATTAACGCGTAAATTTTTAATTTATACATAGTTTCCTTATTTAAATGTGCAAGTTTAAAAGAAAAAAAAATAGGTTTCATGAAAAATGAATATGAAAAATTATTAAATTTAATTAATTAGTTTAAAAAATAAGTATGATTTTTTATTTCTTAATTTTTTTTATTTTGTTTTTGTTATTAAAAAAATAAAATATTGGTTGTTTTCTTAATTTTTATTGTTTTTGAATGTTAATTTTATTTTTATTTCATATGATTATTTTTGTACTTGCTGATTAAATTATTATTTTTTTTTTTTATTATCATGAATGTTATTTTATACACAATTGTTTTCGAATTTTAAAATTTCTGTTTTGAATAAATTTTAAGTTGATCTATAAGATTCTATTTAGAAAATGTTTAAAAATATTACATTTTAATAACATTTTATATAATATAAAAGTTTGAAAAAGTTATTTTGACAGAAAAAAAAGCAATATCTTGTTGTTTTTGTTTTAAGAATTTTAAATTTTAAGATTTATTTTTTAAAATTATTGAGAATTTATAGAGTTGATTTTTATTTTTACTATAAGCAAGATATAGCTTATACAGTGAATAAAAATATGAAGCGAATATTGATTTATTGTACAGGGAAAATTCAGAAAAAATTCAACAATTCAAAGATATTGTTTAAAAAAAAAAAAAGTACAATTTGAAAAGAAAACAAATTACTTCAAATTTTTGGTATTTCAGTGAATTAATTTAAAAAACAATATTTTTCACAATTAAATTAATTAATTACTCTATTATAACAAGCTTCTTTTTTAATGCAGTGGAAATATTTTGAAATTTAATTTAATGATAACGATTACATTATTTATTTAAAATAAAATTATAAATTAATTAAACTCTATTGAGTATCTAATTATTATTATATTAATTAATTGCGAGAAAACAAGAAATTTAACATTATATATGTATATATGAACATATATACGAGTATATATATGTATTTCAATTAACTACAATCATTATTGAAATGATTATTAATTAAAAAAAGTTTTTTATAAAATTTTTTTTTTGTTATAAATATTTTTTGCTTTTTGTTTATTCTCTTTTCATCTATTACAAATAAAAATTAAAAAATTAAATATTATGTATGTACATATTTCTAAAATAATTAATAATAATAATAATTATGTATAAATTATTATTTAAGAGTAGCTAAAACGGTGGGAAATTATTACAAAATTGAGAAAAATATATTAATATATTCGTAATAAAAAAAAAAAATTTATATTTTTAATTTTATAAATTGATTATATAAAGCATTGCAATCTCGAACCGTGATCAACAATTGAATGAATTTTACTTTATACATAAATATGTAGTTATGATTTTTGTTTTTTTTAAAAAGCATTGGCAAAAATTAATAAATTATTTGTTATTTATTTGAAATAGCTTTAATTGTGCCCTTTTTATTAAATTATTAATATTTTTAAGAAAGTAAAATGGCTAATAAAATTTTTTATTTTTAATTAATTATAAAGTACATTTTTAACAAAATAAATTTAAGTAAAATATTAATAGTTAATCTATGCTTGAAATAAATAAAGATTACAAATAGAACAAATGATTTGACAGATATTTCAGTGTTAACAACGTCGCAGACACAACATCCAATAAATTCTGAACATATCGTCAAATTTTTTTGTTTATATTCCAAAAGATGATACAATGTGCCTGACGCATTGTAGATGCAATTCAGAATATACCCATAATTAAAAATTATTTTTTTTTTGAATGTAAATAATTTGAATACGCCACTGTTTTTTTCTATTGCACAATAGTAAATAAAAATTTGTAAATTTTTTAAATAATAATATTGTTTATATTAAAAAAGTAATTGTAAAGAAATTTTTAAAATCTTTAAACATGATTATCAGGAAATTTTAGAAAAAATAATTTTGGGATTTAACAAAAATTAATAAATTGAAATGTTTTGGTTTTTAAATTTAATTAATTTTCGATTTTTGTTTTTTTACCAAACTAAATTATTAAAAAAAAATACTTTAACAAAAGATTGTTAAAAAATTATTAAATTGAAATTTTATAATTTTTTCAAAAAATTTGTTGCTGAATTGTTTTTTCTATCATTTTAGTTTAATAAAATTCTTAAATATTTAGCGTGTATTTTGAAATTGAATTTTATTATAGCATAAATAACTATAAATAGTTTACCTATATATTGAATTTGTAATATACAAGAGATTCGAAAATTTTAAAACTATATCACTGTATTTAATAAAATTTATGAAAAATTATTTATTTGAAACAAAATACTTTTATTTATTTTATCAATTTTGGAAAATAAAAATTTTTGCGTTTAATTAATTATATTAATTTTTATGATAAGATTAAAAATGTACTCAAAATTTTTGTTTTGTTGTATTAATGAATACCATATTACATAATTATTATTGTATTATGTATTAAGTATATAAGTTATTTAATATTTAAAAAATTTTTATTTTGGTTATTATATTTGCTTTTTTTCCGTTTTTTTTTCTTATTTAATTATTATTTAACGACTGATTATTTTTTATATAATATATATATATATATTCATATATATATATATCTGTATACTAATTTTATTTGTATCTATTTGTTTTTCTTTTGATTTGTGTTTATAACATTTTGCAAATTTAAGTTTTTCATGTATGTATAATAAAAAAATAAAAAAAAATTACGAAAACAAAAACTAAATATACTTTTTATATAATATTAAAAAATAATTTTTTATTTGTATATATATAGATATTATATTTTTATGAACAATTTTTTATTTTATTTTTCGTTTTTTGTTTTTCTTTAATATTTTGTATTTACATATACGAAAATAATATTTAATATTTTAAAAGTAAAAAATATGCATTTATTTACAAATTAATAAAGTAAATATTATATATACATATAATATGTATTTATGATAAAATAAATATATATATAAATATATAATATTATGTACTATGTATTGTGTGCTTTTGCATTCCGATATATATATATATACGTATATATACATTAATTTATAAATATAAGAATATTTTACAAATAATATTATTAATTTAAAATTTCCAAATTATTTTGTTTTGTAATTATTTCTGCTATTATAATGATTTTTAAAACAATTATTATTTTTTTATAATTGTTATATATATATATATTATGTGTATTATAATATCTGTTTTGAAAATACTTAGATTTATAATTTAATTAAGCATTTTATAAACAAATACTTATATATTATGAATAAATATATAAATTTTTATACATACATATATATTAAATAATATTAATTCAATAATAATTATTTTTTTTTTCTTGTTTTTGAAAATGTTTATAACTTATTTTGGTTATTTATATTAAAACAGTTCTTGTTTATAATATATAAGAATATTATTACATTTTATTTACTTATTTTTTTCTACTTAATTGTTATATTAAAGAAATATTTATATATTTTGTACGATATACAGTTAAAATTATAATGAAATCTTTATTTTCATATATATATGTATATATATTTGTATATAATATGTACAATAATTTATTTTTAAGCATTTATATAACTAAGAGATGAAAATTTAAATAATTAAAAAGATTTTTATGCATTTGCTTTTCTTTTTTTTTAATGAAAATTTTAAATTTTCGTTTTTACTTTAAGAATTAAATATTTATAATATTATATTTATATATATATTACGCCAATTTATATATTATGTACATATATACATATATAATTTTAAAAATTACATATTATTGAAATATATATATATATATTCATGGGTTACGTATATTAAATATATAAATTTCTTTATATTTTAATTTAAATTTCTAAAATAGAATATTTATTTTTTAATTAAATTTAATATTCAAAATTAAAATTTGATCAACTTTTAAAATTTAAATATCTCTACATAGTTGTTCATATATATGTATATATATTTTAAATTTGTATTTGAATAATTGGAAATTTTTTTTAAATTAATTTTTATGTTATGTGCATCATTAATGTTTTTTTTTTTTACTATTTAAAAATTTGTTATGGTAAGTAAATACATATTTACAAGTATAAAAAACTAGCTTTCATTTTTAAAACAATTATTAAAATATTGTTCAAATTTAATAAAAAAAAAGTTGTTTCTAAAATATCGTAAATGCGTAAACAAGTAAAAGAGAAACTAGTAATTTCTGAATTGTAGAGTAAGCAATATTTTCCTCTTCTCTAAAAACTACTATTGGTAAAGTACTTATTTAAGTACTAGACTATAATATTTAAGTGGTACTACTTATTTATTCGATTTACTTATGTAAAATTACTGAAATTATAATAGTGCGGCCAGCGCAGTGATTGCTAATCATTTAATTAATATACATACTATATTTACATTAATATTAGATATAAATATTATATGAATTATAAAATTTCAATTAATTTATTTCAAAAACTTAATTGATGCAACATAACTAGGTATATATGTATCATATATGTATATTTTACAAATTTTACAAAGTGAATTTATTGATGTTCATAAATACAATAATCTGTATAGATATGTAATATAATAATAATATTATATATTTTCATCGGTTTTTAAAAATATTTTATTATAATATGAAAAATTTTTCAAAAATTGATCAAATATCTATTTTTAATTTTGAATATTTTCTTATAAACTCAATCAGAACTACTGCTATTCGAAGATGAATTGGTAATTGTGGCATTTTTGACGTCAAATTCATCATAATCTGATGAATTTAATAAAATCTTATCATTCGATGTATCGGTATTACTTTTATTAATATTTCTGTTTTTACGATTATTATTATTATGACTATTGCTATTATTATCGTTATTATTATCGTTATTATCATTATTATTGTTATTTTTACTACTATTATTGTTATTGTTATTATTATTATTACTGTTAATATTATTGTTATTATTACTATTATTATTATTACTATTATTACAATTATTATTATTATTATATTTTAAATTAACAACAGATAATGACGCTGCCATTGTTGATGCTGATGTTGTACATGTTAATGGTGATGCTGTTGATGAAGATGATAATATTGATGAGGTTGATAATGATGATGGTGATGATAGTGATGATGATGATGAAGATGATAACAAAGGATTTGAACATGAGGTAGCTAAAGATGATGAAACTGTTGTCATTGTTGCAGAATTATTATGGTTATTATTATTATTATTATTATTACTGTTGTTTGTTGAATTAATATTGGATCTAGAGCTATTGTTGCTGCAATTAACTGTAGAATCGATTGTCTTTGTGTCCAAATTGGTGTTATTTTTAATTTTATTTTCAACGGAATTATTATTGCTACTATTACAAATTGCAGATACATCATCAATACTATTTCTGTGATGATTTAATACAACAACACTTTCTTCTGGGCTACGACGTAATGATTTTTTTAGTGGCACTTTAATTTTTTCATTTTCAGATTTTTGATATGATGATATTGTAGCATTTATTGGCACACTTGATTTGTCATTATTATTATTATTTGTTGATTGTTGTTGTACTTTCTGCACTACACCACTGGAATCATTTACATTTTGTCTTTGTAATAAAGTTTGTTGATTAAGTTGGTGGTGTTGCAGTTGATGTTGTTCTTGAGTCTCTTTGAAGCAAGTCTTTTCAGTTTTTGCAATTACACTACTATTAGAAGTCATTGATGTTTGTAATTTATTATGTGCTGCTGTTAAAGCTGACACTTGTCGCTGCAAATATTGCAACTCTTGCTGCATTTCATGAATTTGTTCATTACGAGCATTTAATTCTTGAATTAATTGATATTTATCCATACTATTTTGCCTCAATTGAGCATTTTCATGAACTAACATTTTTATAATTTGCAGAATTTTTTCTCGATCAACAGAACTAGCGTCTTTTAATGCTTCAGCGGCTAAGTCCCATGGAACTGAATTTGCAGCAGCAGCTGCAGCCGCAGATATACTACTATCTGGTTCACCATTAAGGCTTTCTTCGTCAGAGTCAGGCGGTAATGCATCAAATTCGGAATGCTGCACATGCTGTGATTGATGAATGCTTTGGTGTGGATAATTACCACCGTGAGTATCATGATTATAATTTGCATGTATTTGATCATGTTCTCTACTATGAAGTGCCTTAGCGTTCTCACCACCATTAATATTTGCAAAATTTTTCACAAGAACCCCTCCACTTGTAACACCTGTTGTGGTTGTTGACGGTGAATTTGGAATAAATCCTAAATTGGAAGACGATGTTGTTTGCGCTGAAGACGGATGATGTTGTTGCATTTGCTGCTGTTGCTGTAAATGTAATTGTTGCATTTGATGGTGATGATGGATTGTACGTGCCTTAAGATTGTATTGCTCACGCAAAGATGGCGGAGTTGGAGATCTGACTACATTTGGATTATCTAACAAATTTTTACTAATATGAATTCGTTGACCTTGATTCGTTGCTGCTGTCGTTATAGTTGTTGTTGCATTCGCATCAGCTTCAACAGGATCAATAATACTGGATAAATTTGATTTTTCTTGTTTGGGTATAATAATGGTTTGATGTGATGATGTAGTCTTAATTATCTTTTCGGCAACATTCGTCGTATGATGATGTTGTTTTAAATGAGATGAACGATGTAAATAATTATTGCTTTCATCATTTGCATTAACAGGCGTTGGTGGTGTTATTGATTGTGGTGACGTTGTAGCAATCATAATATTTTGTTTTATTGTTTGACTATTTGGCTGTTCTTGTTGTGGTGCTGGTGAAGTTGATGAAGTTATTTCATTTGAACCGGAAAATTCTTCCGGACTACACGGTTGAATTTTAACATTACCACTCAAACAGCTCTTGTTACTTGATTGTATTTTTCCAATTGGTAAACTACTAAATTGATTGTGCGAAGATTGATGAATATTATATTGATGATGACTTGTATTACTATGTACTTGTTGTTGTTGAACATGAGATTGATGAAGATGACGTAACGGTTGCTGTTGACTATTATTATTGCTTATTTTGTTATTACTATTGCTATTACTATTAATATTACAACTACTACTATTGTTACTTAATATTGGCGATGATACAACCATATTGCCATGAATGTTATCAGAGGATTGTTGTTGTTGCTGCTGTTGTGCATCAATTAAAGGTGGAGAATTTGGCCTTTCTTGTTTAATACGAATATCAACAATATTACTTAAATTTGTTGTAATTGCAACATTATTATTTTTACTATTACAATTATTAACATTTTTACTACTATTATTACTATTTATATTATTATTATTATTATTATTACTATTATTATTACTATTATTATTATTATTAGTATTATCATTAATATTACTATTTAAGTTGTTATTTGTATTACTAGTGCTACTACTATTATTTCTATCATTTATATTTCGTCTTTCATTACGCTCCCTTTCGCGCTCTCTTTCTCTTTCCCTTTCTTTTGATAATATACTTTTACGTGGTGCTAGTGCAACATTTGGCTGATAAGTACGTTCAAATCTTTCACTTTCTGTATTACGTACAACACGTTCGGGATTCTGTAATACAGGTGGTTCTTGACTTAAATATGGCAATGTTGCTGCTGCCACAGCGACATTATATGGCAAAGATAACATAGATGCTGGTGGTGGAGGAGGAGGTTTCGATTGTGCCCATGGTCTAAATGCAGACATTTGTTGTTCCCGTTCTCTTTGATAATGAGCATATAATATAGCTTGAGCTTGCTGATGATATCGATGTTGAAATTCAGCTAAATAAGCGTTTTCTTCAAGTATTTTTTGTTTTTTCGACAATGGCACATCAACTAACATTGTATCAATGTCACGATTTGAACTTCGTTTACCACAGCTTAATGGTGACATATATTCTTCTTCTTCAACCTAAAATGATAAAAATTTAAATTTTAAATTAGATTGGTAATAATTGGTAATAAAATTTGAATGTTTTTGAAGTTATTTTAATTTTTTAATCAACTCAAAGTTGTAAACTTAAAAAATATTATTTTTGTATAGAAGCGCGGTATTAACAATTATTGTAAATATTTTGCTTATTCCATTTGAAGGAAAATGTTTTATGTTTTGTGGACTATGAACCTTTATAATAAAATGTATTTACATAAATTTAAAAATAAAAACTAAATAAGTTCACATTAAACTAAAAAAAAATATAATAAAAAAATTTACTATATTTTTAGCGCCAAGTGATAATTTTCCTGAACAAAATATTTACTCAGTCTGTTTAAATACTAGATTACATAGTGTATAATTTTCACATCATAATTTAAAATACATACATACATATATAGCAAATATAAAGATAATTTTAAAGTGTAACACAATTCTGTATTGAAAATTAAAAAGAACCGTGACATTTTAACTAAAAATTAAGAAAGCGTTCAGCGAACAATTTATTTAAGAGTTCTAACTTGAAAATTGCTCGTTTAGCTAAATTATTTTGTACATGAAATTTCCTCTTCTTTCAATGGTCTATAGGAAAATTATTTAGGATTTTGAAAAACAATATGTCTTTGAAATATTTAATTGGTGATATTTTTTTTAGGAAATATGTCCCAAAAAGTACCTAAATATTACACTCTTTGACACAATCGGCTTAAAATATGATCATGGCCAACATTTACGGGAAATTATAGATTTTTTTCATAAACGCAATATATCGCGATATATAACAAGAACTGCGCTATATTTCTGTTCATAAACAAATGTTGCTAATCAAGTTTTTTCATAAACATTGCTAACCTATCACAAAAATATTTAAATTATCATGACTACCGGCAGTTAAATCAGTTGTACTTTTTTTTTTACTAGTTTTTGCAGTTCTTTTAAGAATTCGTCTTTTTATTATTGTACTTAAAAATAACAAAATTTATTTTTGTTTCAGTTTTCTTTTTTGTTTTTCTTAATTTTTATTTTTCCTGAAATAGAATTTTCCACTATTTAAATAAATTTTTTTTTTGTAAACGAAATTTTTTGTTCATGAACACAATACTGCACAAGTTTTTATACAACTGTTTAAAATATATTGCGTATGTATCACATTATTGTGTTTATGAAAATACCTTATATTTGAAAGTAAATAGGAACAATCTGCTTATAACAATTACATGCATATATATTTTTTTTGAATTTGTTTAATTATTCAATTTATTCAGATTTCTTTTATGATTTCTTAATTCTCGACTATGTACTGCGTTTTAACCAAAAAAAGAACGGTCAAATGGTAACACTAAAACACAATTTCATGAATTATTTTGTATAAAAATAAAAACGGAGAATGAAAAATATCGAAATAATGCTTTAATTTATTGAAATGTTGAAGTTGAATGAATCTTTAAATTTATAAAGGACAATTTTTTTTCCTGCAATTAATTTTTTTCTATACTTTTGAAAGAAAATTCTAATTTTATTAAGCAATGATTTTGAATTTTTGTTTTCTTTTCTGTGAAAATTTATTTTTTTTTTATTCACTTTTTTATTGTTTCTAGCCTATAAGAAATTTAAAAAAAAATTTTTTTTCTTTTTGTATCTACTCATATAATAAGTTTTGTTTTTCTATATTTGTAATGAGAAGTTCATCAACATTTCAAGGAGAAATAAAATCATAAAATTCCAAATTTGATATTATTAGAATATTTTTTTTTTCTTCTTTTTTATTTTGTTTTTTTTTTTATTGTAAAATTTCGAGTCAAAATGATATCCTTGAAATATTCATGAAGGTTCATCCTTTTAACATTTATTATTTTTTTCTTCAAAAGCATATGGAAAGTGTGTGTATGTGTATGCGCCTTGGTTCTGTTGAAAACACAAACGTGGAAATAATATTTTTGTAGGTTGGTATATATGTACGTATATAGAATATTTGCTATTATTATATGTTATATATATATACGAGTATATGAAAATATTAAGTTGTAGGCGTAGTACAAAGGCAAAGTATATACACATTCACATACCCAAATATACATATCACATTGTTATCCACAAAATTTTTTTATTAGAATACAGCGACAGTGGTTTGTCGTTCCGCCTGAATATTTAGGTAAGAATGAAAAAAAAAATTAAAATTAAAGAAAAATAAAGTTCAACAAACTTCTTTTTGACAGTCGTTTGTTCAGTGTTTTTTTTTCGTTTTTTTTTTTGGAAATTTGTGCAAAATAAAAGGAATTTGTTTGTTTGAAAAAAAAAACTTTAAAAAGAAAAACAAGAGTGAATAGGTTATTGACATAAACTTAAGGTAATCAAATGGAAATTAAGGAAAAATTGAAGAAAAAATAACAATGCATATACATACATTGACTGTTATACAAATAGAAAATCAAAACTGGAAGAAAAAATTGTACTGGAAAATAAAAATTTTTATTGCAATAAAAGGTTTCTTTATTAACATTTAAATTTTATTTTTTGATTTTCAGTCAATGAGCCACAATTTGTGAAATGAAAATCACAATTTGTTTTTGTTTTAATTAAAAATTTCAATTTTCATGAAAATTCCATGATTAAAAATGTAGTAATAAATTAGAAAATTTTTGTTTATCAAAATTTTTAACTTATACTGAAATCAAAAATAAAATAAAAATTTGAAAATTTAAAATTATTTATTTTGTGAATTACTTATCGATTATACAAGACTCTCAAGTTATTCCCTCTCGAAATTTGTAAAATGAGAATTTTTGGCAGTGTATATTCACGAAACTACAAAAAGCTTTACGAGTACCAAATTTCTGTAAATGCAGAAAGCTAACGGTTAATGTCATACCATTAAAAAATATAATTATTTTTCTTAACTGACGCAATTAACCCTTAAAATCGAGCATTATGTTAACCCCTTTTTATATTAATTTTTGCTTTATTTCAAAGACTGTATATATGCATCATCCTAATTATATGCAATCCTAGAAATAGTTTTGTATATGAAAATAATTTTATTAGTGTGATAGGTATACATAAACTGTATTTAAAAACAGAATTTTCACTTGTTGAAGGGAAAAGTGCTACAATACAAACCATTGGTTTGACCCAACTTTATTTTTACTTTTTGAAGGCAAAAGTGTACTATAAAAACCATTGGTTTGTGCCTATACTTTATTAATACAAGTTAAACTGTACAAAGAATTATTCTAACTGTATAACAGTTCAAAGATATTCAATAGTTTGTTTAAATTCGTTTTATATTTATAAGAAAAATTTCTTTTCCTGTTTTATTAAAAATAAAATATAATTGTAGTATAGAAATCAATTAAATCTATACACTAGAAAATTAAATATTTTTTTCACAAATGTATAAATTGAATAAAATTTAATGACCATAATGAAAATTATGAGTTAAAACATAATATAACTTCGAATACATATACGAAGCCTTATAAGAATCATAAAGGATATTTCAGCCTTATTCACGATATGCATAAGAATTCCCAGTATTATTTTAATTAAAATGTAACAGAACATAAAAGATAATAGATCTATATACAAAAAAAAAAAAAACCCAAACTTATAAAAGATATGCCATGACAGTTTCATCTAAAACAAAAAAACAGACTTTATTTTATTTTCTTTAATTTTGAATCAAAAAATTTTTGATGGTTTTATTATTAAGATTTAGTATAAGATTAAAAAAATACACATACATGCATATATGTATGTAAGCTACTTGAGTTTTGCCTTAACATAAGCTGATTGAAAAAAATGATAAAACAAAGTACCTATAAGTATAGTTAGAAAAAAAAAATTCATTTTTATATTGCTAATAAAAATTTTTTGGAAAATTTTATAATAAAAGTTCTAAAAGAGGGAAGTTTGATATAGGAGTAGGTTTTTTTTTAAGTCAACAAATTTTAATTATTCTTTATATACAATCTTCAAGGATACAATTGAACTTTATTTTATTTCGTCAGAAATTGCCGAAATTTTTTTTTTTCGTTTTTCCTTTTTTTTTGCTGTTCTTTAGCAAAATGATATCTTCTTTCATCACCTGTACTACAATATTAATAATCCTTTATATATTTGTCATTATTGTTGAATAAGATCCATGGTAAAATAGAATAGAATTGTTAATTTTATGAAAAATTTAATTCTGATTTATAGTCCTTTTTTTTATCAAATGTATAGCTATGGTTTTTATCTATATATAAAAAAAAACAGGAATATTAAGACCCTCTTTTTGATAAATTGAAAAGGTGGTGGCATTAGCATTCAACGCTATTTGATACTTTTCCATTCAATTTTTTTCTTTTTGAAACCACAAAATGATGACAATAAACTGAATTTGAGATTAATTTTTTTTTTTTTTGATAATAAATTTTCGGCAATTATCTTTGTATTCATTCATTGTATTAAGGATATGGTTTCTAATTTATAATTAAGGTAAGAGAAAATAACATAGCGAATTTTACGTTAAAGAACGAAATATTCATATAACGTACCGAAATATTACCTACGTATGTACATTGCTTATGTAACGGTAGAATAAAAAATATTATTGTATAATATTATATATATTATAATATCATACAACATACATATATAGGAAGATTATAAATTCAATTCGCTTGTAAAAGTTTTTGAAAGAATTCTACAGTACTGTAAACGAGTTAGGCCGAGACATTTAAAAGAAACATTAATTAAAATTTAATTTTTAAAATTTCTTAATTTTCAACGAAATTTTTTTCAACCACTTTTTCACTCATAATTCTGGTTTGACAAATAGTAAGGAAACTATTATTTAAATTGCTTATAAATTCTTGCACATATTCTCTTGCAAATATTCTGTCATGGAACCTTAATGTAAATATTATTCCAATTATAAAACAAAAAGTAAAAAAAACGCTCAAAATTCGGGCATTTGAGAAAGTATAAATAT